TGTGTACTCGAAAAACTTGCAGGAAATAAAGTCATGACTTTTATCTAAAGTCCAGAAGAAAAGTCCTTGATAAAAAAGAATATGATTTTTTTCAAAGATTTTTTAAAATGACATTAACTGATTTCGGACTTTTTCCCAAATATTTTCTTTCTCATGACTTTTTTAAATGGGTACGTTCGAAGTTCCCTTGTCGCAAATTTATGCATTTAGGTAACCTCCAAAAAAGTCCTTGGAAAAAAGTTTCCGGAAAAAAGTCCTAAAATTTCACACTAAAAAAGTCCTGTGGAAAAAAAGTCCTTTTATTAAAAAGTCTCCGGAAATAAAGTCCTACCAATTCTAGACTTTATTTTCTAGGACTTTTTTTCTGGCTCCAGTATGATTTTCTACAAAAAAGTCCTCGGAAAAAAAGTCCTCTAACAAGTTAAAATGCATGATTCACAATTCTAGGTTTTTCTTTTCCTCGGATTTATTTTCTTCAGGACTTTTTTCCTGAGATTTTATTTCCTGAGACTTTATTGGCAGCCCCCCACACTATTTTAGGAAAAAAACGTCCCAGGAATCCAAAACACAGGACTTTATTTCCAGTGACATTTTTTCCAAGGACTTGAGAAAATTCAGACTTTTTCCAAAGTTTTTATTTCCAGGTTTTTTTCAAGAAACTATTTTCCCGGGACTTTCTTACATAGATTCATGCATTTAAACTATAGATATTTAATAAACATTTTTTATTTTAAGAAACTTTCTTAAAAATCTTTTAAAGTCTTGCATTAGACAGAAAAATAACTTCTTGGTTATAAAATATCGTTTAGAATAGTTTGTAGTCCGGGAGGTTACTGCATTAACAGTGTGTGGAACGCTCTCAAAGCGGCAAATCGGATCCGTCTACGTCACAAGTGACGGTTTAAACAAGAACTCGGATCCGCTAGCGCAGCTGGGTGGCCCGACGGGAAATCGGATTCGCCTCCACGGTAGGTCGAGCCTTCTTAACGGGAACTCGGATCCGTCCAATCCCACTCCAAGGTTGGCATTCAAAGTTCGTAATTGGGTGTCTGACTCATACATATATCTGGAGGCTCACTGCAGAGGGAAAACTTTAGAATAAGAGGAAGTGGGGGAGGGGGAGTGGAGCTAGGGGGATTAAGGGAAATATTTAAAACTTGAAGTGGAGGGGGGGGGGGAATATATGAACAACAGGG